GTTCAGTCTCAAAGGCCTTGGAATCAGGAGGCGCCACAAAGCCACAGTCACCGGGGGCGAGAGGCTCCCCACCCATCTGTGAGTCCCTCACTTCAGGTTATTGTGTATTTCTAGGATTCTATGATTTTTTTTTAAGATGGAGGGGCACATAAGTCAGGCCATAATTCACACAGAGGGGCTGACCTTATCATTAGCCAATGATGTGTTTTTAATCGGTGAGTGACAGGGGACGGTCCAATCAGCTTTCAGCCTGGCCCAGTGCCCCTGTGGCCCCGCCTCCATATAAAGCCATGAACGTTACCAATACAGATAAGCAGCTTAAGCTCTGAGCTCCACAAATCTGTAAAGAAGCTGATGTTGGTGATGTTACTCATTAAGATCCTGTGAATGTGTGTAGCAGCCATGTCATATAATTCAGGCAAGACTGTAGCGAGGGTCTGAGTGGGGGGGGGGACTGGGGGATTCCCTTATCCTCCACCTCCGGAAGTGCCTGATCGTCCAGATCATCTCCATTACTTTAGAACCTTCGTCTATAGCTTTGGTGCTGCTAATTTTAATTAATTAATGTTAGCGGACAAATCGCGCTAATCTCCGCCTTGCAGAGTTCTTCTGCTAACTTGGCCTTAGATTGCATGTGTGGCTGACTAACCGAATAAAGCAGCTTTGGAAAAAGACTGAAAGGCGTCGCTCATGGTCTCGGACAGCAAGAAAGGGTTAAGTTCTCTCACCTTTCTGAGGGTCATAGAAGCGATGCTGGCCGTACAGAACGCTGCTGTTGCCGTGGGGATCCAAGTGGCTCATGGGAAGGAAGGTAGGAGTCAGGCTCCCAGAGAAGCGGGGGTACCCAGGGGCGGCTGAGGGAGACAAAAGAGGGGCAGCTCTGCTGAGGGGGGGTGACGATGGTGAACCTGCCCCCACCACGCCCCCCCCCCCCACATCGTCGTTACTTAGCAGACACTTTTAGCCACTTCAGCATGTTTTACACACCAGTACATTTATAAACATGAGTCTTTTCACTGTTTAACGGAAACCACAAGTGGCACCAGGATGGGGAGCAGAGAACAGGGACCAGACAGCTGGAAGACGAGGGACCCCTACCCTCCCTCACGCCCGGGGGGGTCTGTGGGCAGTAAACGGCCTTGCACTCAGCTCTAGTGCCTCTGGACGGCAGTCCGCTCCGGAGAGAAAATGTTCATGTGCTCCGTAAACACTGTTTGACACTGAGGGTCACGAAGCTTACAGGATGCCAGGCCTGTACAGAGACGTGTGACTGAGCGCGTGTGTCTGTGCGTGAGGGTGTGCAGCGCCACGGTAACCAACAGCCCATAAGCTGCGTATGCAGCCTTCCGATTGCAGACATGCACACACACCCCAATAGCCCACATCAAAGCCGCACCCCCAGCTCGTACCCCTCCACTCCACCAGACTGTAACCCCTCCAATGGGGGTATCCTTACAGAACACCAGTTGTGATGGTGGGGGTTGGGGGGGCATTTTAATATATGGTGGAGAGAATGGAATTACACCACAATCACCATTAGGGTGAGTTAAGTGAAACAGCCTAGGAGAAGTGTGGGGGAGGAAGGAGAGTGATAGGGTGAGAGAGAGTGATGTGGAGTGGTCCTGCTCAGGTGACCACAGCACACCGCTGCTGTCACCAAGTCCTCGCACCCACACTGAGCCCCCTCCTCCCGCCCACATGGCCACATGTCCCTCTCCCAGTTGGATGTGCAAAAACCAGAAAGATCTCCCTTCCTCAACTATTGTGCTTCGATTCTAAGGTTCTGGAAGAACTTCAGAACAGGACTGCGGCTCTGACAGAAGGATTCTCGCGGCGAGCGAAGGCTTTGCCAGCGAGCCTCTCCTGCCGTCTCGCACGCCTCGCCGATTTCTGGGCCTGCCGCTTTTTGCCAGGCACGCCGCGTTACGGCAGAGATTATCCTCTTTTCCCCGGCGGCTTAGAAAACGGCTCGACTCAGCAGCGGAGATGCGGCCGTGGCTGGACACGCCTGCTGCGCGGTCCTTGCGTCCCTGGAAGCGGCACTGCGAGGGCTAATCCCTTTTCACGGCACAGGCTGCCCGGCCTGGATAACGTCCAAGTGCCATGACCCCCCCCCCTCCCCCCGTGACGTGATGTCGCTGCCCCCGCCAGACACTCTGCTGCAGGTGGCTCACACTGGGACAGCGAATCAACACGCTGCGGCGAGTGTGTACTGGCATACTGCATCCATGCCCATCTCGGGCCCCCAGGTGTTTAACTACTATGCCCCCCCAGGTAAAACACATCCCTGCTCCCCACCAACGAAAACTTTTGCTCAGATATTCAGTCAAAAGTGAGCACAGAAACAGTACAGCAACCAAGGCCCAATGGGTCAGATTACATCATTAAATTATTATATGACCCCCCCTCCCCACACACACGCACTGTCCAAGATCACTAGATGATGAAGCCGCTCTGAACTGGTGATTCTTGGGGGCGGTGGGGCAAGGGCTTATATAATCAGTTATTTCTACATCAGCCTCACCCCTCTAACCCAATCCTGGCCAGCAGGTGGCGCAGCGGTTTGCAGTCTGAGCTTAGGGATAAATGGTTACTGGTTCAAATCCCCAAAGTCTTTCAGTGACCTCTCCCCCTCCGAAACTGACTGTAAACTCTACTCTTTCCATCAGTATAAATATGAAATAGTGTAAGAAATGTCAGTTGGGGGGAGACTGGCAGGGTGGGGGCCTCATCCACATTTGCTCACCTGCTTCCCTGGAATAATGATCAGGTACAAGGCAGGAGTCACCTGAGATATATACAGACAGACCTGAGCACCCCCCCCCCCCCATCCGCATGGCGTTGGAGGGGCTCTGTAGGTAATTACCTGTGTGTATGTTAGGCGCATGACAGGTGCATGATGGGTATGAATGGGGGGGGGCATACCCCATGAAGGGCTTCACAAGACTGACAACCATGGACGGAGCCAGGCTGGGAGGGAAGGCCTGAGAGCTGCAAGTGGGGGTGGACTCATGTATTTTAACTTATTTTTATTGCCCCCCCCCCCGCTAACGACAGGGAACCAGATCGGTGAAGCGGTGGGAGGGAAAAACGTGGTTAATGAAGCTTTCTGCTCTGCTTTCGGCTCTCTGCCCCCCCCCCCACACTCATTTTTCCTTCTCCCCATCTCTCTTTCATTCCACCCGACCCCCGCCTTCAGCGATTCATGACTTTCTTAAACTGACTCCCACTAGCCCCCCCTACTCCAACGGCTCCCATGAGAGCACTGAGCAGTTAGACATTACAGCAACCTTATATTCACCTGTCAACCCAACCCCCCCACCCCCAACAGCCACATATGCGCAGGTTTAGAAGGCACAGCTTACGACGAACAAGGATCTTAATAAATTTATTGCCCCCCTCCCCCCCCCAGGGCACAATTACTACCCTGTAAAAGCAGTCGCTGAGTTCTATGACACTAAGCTTTGCTCCGACCCCCACGTCTCCTTTTGAGGTGGCGGCCCGGGACCGCGGTCAGGCTCGGCGCCGTGGTTACAGAACCTCCTCAGGCCCCACAGCGGCTGCCGCTCCACTGACCTGACCAACGGATTCCTTTGTTCTCCTCTTAGTGCACTTTTGCTAACCCCTGACACTACGAGGGGGGGGGGGCAGGCAACTGCAGGCGCGGGCGGGGGGGGGGGGGGGGCACCCGCATCACCGAGCAGAGAGGACAGCCGCACGAGCGAAACAGCCGCATGAAAAAATAAACTCTTCCTCTGTTTTCTTTTAGTTCCGCAGAGAGGGAAGGCTTTTAATCTTTCGCTGAGAATGCCCTCCCGAGTCTTTTTCTGAATATAAAAACAAACAGAAAAGGTTCCATGGCGACCGGCGTGTTATGTGCAGAATCTGAAGTCTGTGTGTGATGCCCTGCAGTCCTGTGACCTCACCGCCACACAATCCTGACCACTTCAGACACATTCTCGCATGCCGCATTGCTCTGTCAAACTGCTCCACACTCCATACACTCTCCACAGTAAATACAGCTCTGTTCTGCCCTACACTAAACTGTCCAGAGTAAATAGAGCTATACTTTGCACTACACTATACTGTGCAGAGTAAATACAGCTATACTCTGCTCTGCAATATACTATGCTGAGTAAATACAGCTATACTCTGTTTTACACTATACTGTGCAGAGAAAATACAGCTATACCCTGCTCTACACTATACTGCGCCGAATAAATACAGCTATACTCTGCTCTTCACTATACTATGCAGAGAAAATAAAGACAGCCATACTTAGCTCTACACTATATTGTGCACTCCTCAGCCCTACAGTACACACTGGTATACATATTGTCTACACTTTACTGTAAACTCTGCACTGGTTCATACTCCTCACCACTGTTCTGCACAACCTTAGGTTTCCCTAGGGAAGGAGGGCCCATTATAGAAGGCCTCCAGTGATTGGTGAGGAGGCCATGCCAGAGAAACAGGGGGCATACAAGCCTGTCACTCACATTCACTGCATCCGAAAGGGGAACAGAATGAGGCAGCCTATAAGAGGAAGGGGAATGGAGAGGGGTGGGGGGCAGAGTGTCAGGACTGCTAATTGAGAGGGAGGGCTGAAAAGAGACACAGCAGATCCATGGAAGGGGGGGGGGCGTCAAACAGGCAGTCCCCATAGGGTAAGACAGCCGTCTGTGCAGGAAGGAGGGAGTGGGGGGTGCTGAGGGGACAGTGAGAACACAGGTGAGGAACAGCAGATGGGTGACGGGTGGGAGGTGGGTGGGAAATAAGCTGGAAGAGTGGGGGGGGGAGCAGAGGGAGGGGGACGAGCGTCACTCGCAGGCCTGGCCGACATCCAGGGCGCCGTGCTGGAGGGAGGCCAGCTGGCACACGGCTCGGG